GCCAGGATAGTGAGAGAAAGTTGAAATAAGGATTGCCTGTTTCAGAAGAGCAAGGGCCATATTATTTACATAAAAGTGCTTATAGTATGCTTTTGTAGAGTTTTCCTTCTAAAGAATGGGATGCCACACAAATGATTACTCATTTACATAAGCAACTTTGACTCCTCCCAAATTCCAAATTTCAAACATTGAAAGGTAGGTACAGTGCAGATAATTTGCTATTTCACTCGCCAACTTCTTAACCATGGTTACTTATCACAGAGCTACTGTATACGTGGGGCTTCCCTAGTGGCTAAGTGCTAAAGAATTCACCTGCCAATTCAGGAGACGTGAGTTCTATCCCTGTGTCAGGAAGATCCCCTAGAAAAGGAAACGGCAACCCACTCCAGTATTCCTGCCTGGGAAATCTCATAGACAGAGGAGCCTGGCAGGCTGCAGTCTGTGGGATTCCAAGAGTCAGACATGACTTAGCCACTACATAACAACATTGTATCCATGATCTGTAGCAGGTTTGCATTGTTCTTATATTGACTAGACCCCATTTAAGGCAATATTAGCTCTGTCATCATCTGATAATAATGCCTAGTCATGCAAACGAGAAATAAAGTCAGCAGAAGTAGGTGGACAGGCCTCCTGTTAAAAAGAATCCTCAGATCAGAGCTTAGACAGTGCTTGAGTAGGGATAGCTGTGACCACACTCAGTGTACTAAGTTGCTTGTGCCCAGTGGAGAAGATGGGGTGGAAGGGCAAGACAGACTTCATGGACATCCTCTGGCCACTTCTTGCTCTGTCCTTCTGATACCCCCAGTTTCATCATACTACCAATTACTCTTTTTAACTGAGAAAATCCCGAAGATGACAGTAAATTCTAACTGCTTTCTAAAGCTTAGAAGAATATGTTCTATACTTTCCCACTTTTTTGGAAGGTGAAGGTGAAGCTTGCTGATCCTGAGAGCTCAGGTCCTCCAGATATGAGTTCTCAAGGTTCTGTTTTACTGTCTCAAGATTGAGTAACTCCTGACAATAACAACGATCATGCTCAATTTCAAATCAGCAGATATTTATTGAGCACCTACTAGTTGGTATAGTAAAAAAAAAAGCATTCAAAATTCAACAAGTGCTAACAGTACACCTACTAAGTGCTTAGTACTGAGTTAGGCACTAGTATAATAGTAAGAGTTATGATAAATAAATACTTGTGTGGTACTCAGAACTGTACTAAACACTGTAGGTATGCTTATAATTCCCATTGTACACAACAGGTGGCTGAGGCACAGAAAGATGAAATAACTTGCCCCTGTTACAAAACATGATTTACTTATTTCACCTATATGTGAAATAACTTTCCTAAAGGTAACAGCAAGAAGTGAAACAAGGGTAATCTAGCCCCTGAGCCCCAAACTCACCAGGCTTTAGAATTAAACAGATTCAGAGCTGAAGCACACCCTCTTCCATCTACAGCTGTATGACTTCGGGAAAATCACTTAACTTTTTAATCTTAGTTACCTCACCTGTAAATGGAGATAAAGACATCTACTTTCAGAACTTTGTAAGGATGATGTATAATGCCTCTACAGTGGCGAGCTCAGTGCCTGATCAACAATATCATTATTCAGTTTAGTTCAGTTTAGTTGCTCAGTCGTGTCCAACTCTTTGTGACCCCATGAACCACAGCATACCAGGCCTCCCTGCCCATCACCAACTCCCAGAGTTCACCCAAACCCATGTCCACTGAGGCAGTGATGCCATCCAACCATCTCATTCTCTGTCATCCCCTTCTCCTCCTGCCCTCAATCTTTCCCAGCATGAGGGTCTTTTCAAGTGAGTCAGCTCTTCACGTCAGGTGGCCCAAGTATTGAGTTTCAACTTCAGCATCAGTCCTTCCAATGAATATTCAGGACTGATTTCCTTTAGGATGGACTGGCTTGATCTCCTTGCAGTCCAAGGGACTCTCAAGAGTCTTCTCCAACACCACAGTTCAAAAGCATCAATTCTTCGGTGCTCAGCTTTCTTTATAGTCCAACTCTCCCATCCATACATGACCACTGGAAAAACCATAGCCTTGACTAGACAGTAATGTCTCTGCTTTTCAATATGCTATCTAGGTTGGTCATAACTTTCCTTCCAAGAAGAGTAAGCATCTTTTCATTTCATGGCTGCAATCACCATCTGCAGTGATTTTGGAGCCCAGGAAAATAAAGTCAGCTGCTGTTACCCCATCTAATTGCCATGAAGTGATGGGACTGGATGCCATGATCTTAGTTTTCTGAATGTTGAGCTTTAAGCCAGCTTTTTCACTCTCCTCTTTCACCTTCATCAAGACGCTCTTTAGTTCTTCATCACTTTCTGCCATAAGGGTGGTGTCATCTGCATATCTGAGGTTATTGATATTTCTCCTGGCAATCTTGATTCCAGCCTGTGCTTCTTCCAGCACAGCGTTTCTCATGATGTACTCTGCATATAAGTTAAATAAGCAGGATGACAATTTACAGCCTTGACGTACTTCTTTTCTTATTTGGAACCAATCTGTTGTTCCATGTCCAGTTCTAACTGTTGCTTCCTGACCTGCATATAGGTTTCTCAAGAGGCAGGTCAGGTGGTCTAGTATGCCCATCTCTTTCAGAATTTTCCAGTTTATTGTGATCCAGACAGTCAAAGGCTTTGGCATAGTCAATAAAGCAGAAATAGATGTTTCTCTGGAACTCTCTTGCTTTTTTGATGATCCAGCAGATGTTGGCCTTTTGATCTCTGGTTCCTCTGCCTTTTCTAAAACCAGCTTGAACATCTGAAAACCAGCTTGAACATCTGGAAGTTCACGTATTGCTGAAGCCTGGCTTGGAGTATTTTAAGCATTACTTTACTAGCGTGTGTGATGAGTGCAATTGTGTGGTAGTTTGAGCGTTCTTTGGCACTGCCTTTCTTTGGTATTGGAGTGGAAACTGACCTTTTCCAGTCCTGTGGCCACTGATGAATTTTCCAAATTTGCTTACATATTGAGTGCAGCACTTTCACAGCATCATCTTTCAGGATTTGAAACAGCTCAACTGGAATTCCATCACCTCCACTAGCTTTGTTCATAGTGGAATTCACTAATCCAAGTGTGTATGCACTTGGTGGGCTTCCCTGGTAGCTCAGTTGGTAAAGAAACTGCCTGCAATGCAGGAGACCCGGGTTCAATCCCTGGGTCAGGAAGATCCCCCGAAGGAAATGGCAACCCACTCCAGTATTCTTGCCTGGAGAACCCCATGGACAAAGCAGCCTAGTGGGCTGCATACAGTCCATGGAGTCGCAAGAGTCAGACACGACTTAGTGACTAAACCACCAAGGACTTGGTTATGGTCACCTCAGGTGTCATAACCTTGAAATGCTGCCATACCAGTTGGCAGAAACTCTTGAGTGCCCCTCTTTCAGGCCATGCAGCCCCTCCTGCAGGAGCCTGCCCCAAACCCCTGCACTGGAAGGGCCTCCAGGACCTGATGGTCAGAGCCTGTGTTCTACAGTTGTGAAACACTTTCACTGTCTCCTGGCTACAAACATGAGACGGGCTCCTGCCTGTGGTCAGAGGGCAGTTGGGGAGCAGTCCTAGGCATGATGGGAAGAAGTAACAGGGACAGTGATGAAGGCGTATGGCAGATGGGGGGACTCCCCGCTCAGGTGGGTCAGGAAGGCTTGGTCTATCAGGGACCAGTGTGGGTCGGGGAGAGCATCCAGATCATCACTAAAGTTCCTTTTGTCTCTCGCCTTTTTCATTCTTACTATCTCCACCTGGTTCAGACGTTTACTACTCTTTGCCTAAAGTCCCCCTTGATCTTCATGATTAAGTGGTCCATTTTATAATTAAGTGGTAATTAAGGGTGCTGACCATTCTAGAATCCATTCTGTGGTTCCCTTAGTAAACAGTCTTTGGTAGCTTCTTCATCTGCTCATAGGTATCCACAACCCTCTATTATGTAACCCCAGCCTCTATTTCCAGTCTTTCCACTTACTGTAGGTGCCTGGCACTCCTGCCAAATGAAGTATTCCTTACAATGGACTCAGTGGCCCCTGCTGCTTGGAACTTGTGGACCCCACCTTGGGGATTTTCAACACCCTCCTCAAATACAAATTCTTTGTTCCATCTAGGTTCCTTCCTTCCCCTGTCTTTTTCCACACCAAGTCATGTAAGGTGTGATGTTCTAAACATTCACTGCTAGCATGTGATACCTTGTTTTCTCTTCACAACAGCTGTAAGAGGTAGGCACTATTACTATCATATCTATTTTAAGACAAAAAAGACCAAGGCACAGAGAAGTGAATTAATTTTCCAAAGGTCACACAGCAGGCAAAATGTAGAGCTGGGATTGCAACTCAGTAAGCTTATCTTCAGAGCCTGTGTTCTTAGTGTTTTATAGTGATGACTAGCTATCAAAGAAAGAGCAAAGAGAAGAAAAAAAATTGCTTGTTATTACACGAAACACACGGCTTGCTTTTGTAATTATTTGTGTTGTCATTTTATCTCCTTCTTTAGGTAAGCTGAAAATTTCTAGGGAAGAGGAACTCTGGGTCTTATGGACTAGTGCCTGTTATCATCATTAAGTTGTGAGGATAGATAATTACTGAGCCATCACATCCTGATTATGAATTAGCCTAATCAAACCTGCCTTTCACTAGTACTTTTCCCAACTAAATACATTACTTGGCCAAACCCTGATGCAAGATCAGGCTAGTGTTCCACATGGACTTCAAGAAAACTGCTTTGTTTGGTGACTCAGATTGTGGATGAGAGTTGTCATTCATCAGAAGATACTGAATAATAGAGCAGATGTGTATGTGATTTCTCCTTTTTAGGCTTGGAGAAATTGAAGCATCCTGAGGCAGGTCTATAGTGGAGCTTAGCTGGGACTAACTCAAACTGACTCTCCGGGAACCCAGTCTAGGACCCTGGACAACTCTCTGGTGTAAGGATCAGTAAATAGACTAAGTCATTGACCAGAAAATTCTGGAACACTCTTCCCCCAAATTTTTACCTTGACACAAAATAAAATTATGACATCATCATGGGAATAGAGGACTTCTCTATTTGTACTTTTATAACATGTTAGGTTTTTTCCCCCAAGGGTGGATTGGTCAGTCCTCGTGTTGAAGAAAAATCGTTGTGAAGAACGTGAACCACCTTACACTGTAACTGATCTTACAACTGTATTCGTTCTAGAAACTAGAGAACAAAGTGATGAATACTAACTTAAATAGAGAACCAAAAACTTCGTAGGTAGACACAAAACCTTCCTGAGGAGACAAAAACTTTGGAACTTTTAGAACCCCCGTTTTCTTTCTTCGGTGTTAAAATTGACAGGTACTGGAGTATATGTGACTTTAGGAGGCAAAGGACTTATGCAAAATTAATATCTGCTAAATATCTTGTAGCAAAATTATGTTATCTAGGCGAATCCTGTGCCGCGTTTTGCCTTCGTCTCCATTTCTGTTATGTTGCGCGGAGCTTACAGGTGTCTGTCGCCTTGGAAACGGTGGTGCGGGGTGGGAATGGGAGGAGAGCTGATCCCAGGAAGGATCGAGGCTTTATTGCCGAACAAAGTCCACCACCATACTCGGATGAAAGTTCGAATGGTTTAGTTCGCTCTGGTTCCGGGAAGCAGCGCACAGGCCAGCACCTTTAAGGACAAACAACACCGTGGCTGTCCCGTTCTACGCATCACCGGCGCTCGCAGCACTGTCTCGGGGTAACCGCCTGCGGGCGGTCGCGCGCGTCTCCCCCTTTAAGAAGCTTCTCCGCGGGACTAACGTTCGAATAGCCCTGGCGCCCCTCCTCGGTCTCTGATTGGCCGCTCGAGGCGCACGAGGGCGCGCCGATGGTCCCGGAACGGTTGGCGGCCTCTCGCGATTGGCTGTCGAGAGGCCTTTATAAGGCGCCGGGCGGCCAGCTTTCCTTCAGTTAGCGACCGGACGCGAAACTGCTTGTGTGACTGTAGTGGGGAGGGCGTGGAGGCTAGTGAGCGCGTCGTCAGAGCCGTTTCTCTTCGGGAGTCTTCACAGACCGAGGGTCCACCCTCCGTGGCGGACTTGTTGACACTTCTTGTTCCCGTCTCAGCTTCGGAACGTGGGCCGGGGCTCACCCCCTCACCTCCGCGCCAGCCCTGGGAAGGAGGAGGCAGGATGGAGTTCAAACTGGAGGCTCACCGCATCGTCAGCATCTCCCTGGGCAAGATCTACAACTCGCGGGTCCAGCGCGGCGGCATCAAACTGCACAAGAACCTCCTGGTCTCGCTGGTGCTCCGCAGCGCCCGCCAGGTCTACCTGAGTGACCCGTGCCCCGGCCTCTACCTGGCCGGTCACCCGGGGGCCCCGGCGGCGCCGCAGCAGCCTGAGGAGTCGGCGGCCGGGCCACCCGCGGGCTGGGGGGAGCCTCCTCCGCCGGCTGGCCGTGCCGCCTGGCCGGAGCCCGAGCCTCAGCCGGAGCGCCCTGCCGTCCCAGAAGTGCCAAGGGCGGGTGACGCGGAGCCCGCGGCCACGGTGACGGCCGCCGGGGACACTCTTCGGGGCAGAGAGGCGGAGGCGCCGGAAGCTGCCTGGCGCCGCGTGGAGGGACCGCAAGAGACGGCGGTCGGAGCCGGGGGTCCCGCCGGAGTCTCTGGGGTCTGCCCCGAGGGGCCCGAGGCTGCGCTCGGCCCCTGCGGCTGCCCCGCGGGGGACGAGGACAAGCTGAGCGCGGCCCCTCGCGTGGACCGCTGCCTCGCGTCGCGCCCCGCCGCGGCTGAGCCCCCCGCGTCGCCCCCTGTCTGCGCCAGAAAGCGCGGCGCGGCAGGGGTGGGCGGCGGCCCCGCGGACTGCCCGGCGCCCGGCTCGACCCCGCTCAAGAAACCCCGCCGGAACTCAGAGGAACAGCCGGGCGGGGCGGCGGCGGCCGCGGAGGAGGAGGAGGAGATGGAGACCGGTAACGTGGCTAACCTCATTAGCATCTTCGGTTCCAGTTTCTCGGGACTCTTACGGAAAAGCCCCGGGGGCGGCCGGGAGGAAGCGGAGGGAGAGGAGAGCGGTCCGGAAGCCGCCGAGCCCGGGCAGATCTGCTGCGATAAGCCGGTGCTGAGAGACATTAACCCTTGGAGCACTGCCATCGTGGCCTTCTGAGCCCCCGGGGTCCCGGTGCGGAGAGGAAGTTGAGCAGAGGGCGTCCCGACGTGAGGGCTGGGCCTCTCCCGGCGTTGAGGACGCCCCCGAGGCCATCGGCGCCGAGCGCGAGGGGGTGCCGCCAGGCGGCACAGACTGCCCTTGGGCTTGGTGGCCGCCTGGGCCGAGCCTCTCGGGTCTCCTCTGGAGACTTGGGAAGGGGAGACTTATTGGAAGAGGACGGCGATCGTGGACTTTTGTGTTTGTGTCTGTGTATGTCAGTTTGTGTCGTTGAATTAAGGCTATTTTGTCCCTCTGGAGAGCGTCACCCCTTCCCCGCGGTTTAGGAGATTGGGGCAGACAGGGACTTTCCTCTGCCGGCAGCGCCGAGGAGGAAGCGGCGAAAAAGGCCGGGGCCGGGGAGTTCCCCGTTCGCTCTCGGGGGAGGAAGGGACTTTACACACACCTCTTACATGAAAGCTAGAACCGCACCAGGGCCAGGAGCGGCGTTTCCTCCCAGGATTTCCTCGGACTAGAGGGATTTAGGCTGGAGTAGAGACTTGTATTATTTCTCTCCTTCCCCACCTTTCTCTGTCACTGAAGAAACGTCTATACCCTGTGATTACTCGGGGAGAGGGAGTGTTAGCGGCTCTTGTCTTCCTCACGGGGGAGGAAAAGAAAACTTGATGAACTTCACAGAAGAGTTCAAGCTTGGAAATATGGAGTTTATAGAGAAAGATTTATTTTTTAAAAGCTCTAGATCAGAACTACTACACAGTGCTTTTAAAAAGTGTTTAAGGAAACAAAGTTTACAGACAGAAGCCCTCAGTGGAAAGGCCCTATGGTTTTGTAGCTAGTGACTCCAGTCTTTGTTGTATAAAGGTTGGGGGAACTGACAAGGTTTTTGTACAGTATTTTCTCCTTCGTTGTATTGATTTTTGTATAAAAATGTAACTTTACGTGTCTAACACGTATTAAATATTTTGAAGCAACTTCACTGCCTCCTTGTGTGTAAATCGCCTGTCTGGGTTGCGAGGGAAGTGGGAGGAGGGCAACTATGGTCCGCCTGGAAAATTGAAGGTGTGGTTCTTAATATCAGTTGTGCAGACTGGGGACACTGTTTGCTGACTTCATTAAGTGGAGAGGGGCACATTTAAGCTTTCTCTCTCACATCAGAAGACCACTGTTAGGTACTAATATCAGTGGTCTGCCAGTTTCTTGAAACCTGCCACTAAAACTCCCTTTTCTAAAGTCAATTTAGGCAATTTGATTTTTAGCCCAATCTGACAGTGTCTAATATTAAATAGCTTAAGTGAAAACTTCTGAGGCCCTTCCCATCCACAAAAGTGTTTTTCACTAAAACTTTTAGTTTCCTGATAATAAAACCTGAGGGAAACTGCTGAGACTGACATGGCCAGCTGCTCAGGTCTACCTCTGGATTCCAGTGGATGTCAGATGGAAATTTTAATGCTTTAAGAAATTAAAAAAAAAATTATGTCTGTAGAAAGTAAATGCATCAGTGAAAGAAAATAGCTTGTTTTCAGACTAGATAAGGTTGGAGGCCAAGGAGGGGTAGACGAATTAGCAAAGCCTGATTTGTTTTTGTCACCCAAATGGTGACATCAGTGTTTTGGCTGTGGGTCATGGTAAATAAATACTTTGACAGCCAAGTCATCTATTGATACATTTTTGGGGGGTCTAAGGCAGAATGTTTAGTATTTGAAGGGTAATCAGTAATCTCTCAGAAGCAAATCAGTTAGAGATTGGTGTCTTAAAATATGGTTGCTAGTACTTTAAAAGATGGAACTGGTCTAAAATAGCTTATGAATAAACTGGGTGTTTATGAGGTGGGGAAAATTGAGGAAAGAGGAGACAAATTTCTAAGAAGGGATTATTGCCTTTGAGCGAAGCATAAGGGAGTGCTTTGCTCTCCCTAAAGTCCTGACAGTGTGAACTTCTGTCAGGCTAGGAGGGCCCATGTTTTGGTATTTTTGCAAATCTGTCTGTGACTGGTTAAGTCAAAGGAATTTTCTACTTTATGCTCCATCACCATAAATAATATATTCATAGAATTAAACATTCTCTAATCAGGGTCTTGTTAACATTAACATTGACTTGTTTTGCTTTCAGAGATTAGCTACTTAAGTTCAGTTACAGCCACAAGAGATCCATTGAGTGCGACTGCTTAAACTGGAGGTATCTAGGGCCTTAATTTTGCAAACATTTCCTGTTGCTAGAAAGTAATTATTATGCTTGAACAACTATCTGAGTGCATTTTTATATTTGAAAGAAGGGAACATTTGGTGTGTTTGAGTTGATATGTTTTGCTTGAGATGAAAATCGCCATTGATCCTTGTTTTCACATTAGGATGAACCATGGGACCATGAGTCTGCTTAGTTTAGAAAAGGTAAATGGATATATTTGATAGGGAAATACAGCTTTGGAGAAATCAGTAAAGATTATTTTTTATCATAGAAGCAGTATATGTCATGGTTAGAGCTGGGCTCTGGAGCTAGACTTTCTGGGTTTGTATCTTGGCTCTGCCACTTACTAGCTGAGGGATCCTGGACAAGTTACCTCATCTCTCTGTGCCTTAGTTTTTTCTCAGCTATGAAATTGAGATAATTGTGCCTACCTTTTAGGGTTGTGGAAATTAATGCCTAAAACTTTAGTTTTTAGGAAAGCACATCATACATAGAATAAGCATACAATTGTTAGTTGTTAATGTAGAAGTAAGTTCTGTGTATAAATCAGATCTGTGGTCAAAAAATTGTGTATATTTGTAAGAAAGGGGGAAGGAGAGTCTGTTTTGAAATTAATCCAATCTGTGAATTGCGAGTTCTTTTATTCTTGTTTTCTCTGGACACTGGGCAGTCCACAAAGCTTGGAACAGTTTTGCTGTTCTGTGTGTCTCTCACCAACCCGGTGACTTTGCTGATTGTATCAAACAGCTCTATTTTCAGCAAGGAGTAAGCAGGAGTGAAAACTTTCAAGGAGCAGAGATCTTGTTGACATAGAAATGCTTTTTGTGGATGAGCAGAGAGGGAAAAAAAAATAGCCCACAGAGTTATTTTTAGCCTGAATTGCTTGGGCATAGAATGTTTCTTAAGCCGTGTTAATTGATAGGTCCTGGAAAAGAGCCTTCCCAGTGCCAGGATGGGGTTATCAGATTCAGTGTGACCAGGAATGAACCATAGTTTTAGTACCTAACCACTTCTTGACCACTCAGGGAATTTTTTGATCAATTAACCTCAGGTCTGGCCTGGAAAAAATTTTTTCAAGATATTTACAGTGCTTTCTGACAAGGACTCCAGAAAGATCACATGAGTAGTGAATAGACGTGGTCATTTTCAGTAACATCTCAACTGTGACTAAACTTGTATTCCCTCTCAGAAACCACTGATTACATTTGGGGAAAGGAACTAATGCTGGAAAACTTGAACCTGCCCCTCTGCCCTGACTGCCTTTGCTCTAGGCACCTAATGTAGTAATAATAACCCTTGTATTCCAACCATTTACCACTGATTGGATTTGGGGATGAGGAGTGGAAGCGGATGGACCATCTAACAATTTTGGTAGAATGCTTCTCAGAATAAAGATATAATATCAGGAACGGAATTCATGATGACAAAACTCCATTTTTATCACTGGATTAATCTGAGTCCCTTCAACTTGCTAGGCATAACTACTCAGCTTAGAGCCTGTGAGATGAGGTCAAAAGGGTAATACCCACTGTGACATGCAGTTTGATGGACGTTTATTTCCTTATACTTTTTTAAAGTAGAGTTAGTTCAGTTCACTGAATAACCAAAGAACCTCTGATCTCTTGCCCTAAATATTTTATTCTTGTCCTGTTTGTGAATTTTTTTATTCTCCTAGGCTTGCTTTTATCCCAGCAAGTTCCTTGAAGAAGACAGGAATGAAAAGAAACACTGATCCAACTCTCCTGTGACTATAAAAGAAGCCATTCCGATTAGGTACAGAACTCGGGTGGGGAGTGAGGTCTGCTTCCCAGGATTCCTGGCACTCTTTGCAGTAATGAGCAGTTTGTCTCTTAGCCTTTGAACCATTGTTCGCATTTAAAATTCCACCCAGTGGAAAGCCTTGGGAGGAAAAAGACAGTAGAAGCAGAGTTGATGTTAGGAACCATTGTGATCTTAACTTGTGGATCCGGGAGTTTTTCTGTAGCAATTCTGGAGGGTGCCCTAGAGAAGAGGATAAAAAAAAGTCCAAAAAGATACATCTAGTAGAATTCCCCCTTCCTGATTCAAACACAATTTTCCCCAATGCCTGCCACCGCCCTTCTACCCCAAGTGGGAAAGAGGGTTTTAAAAATAAGATCTCTCTCTACCAGTTGCTCTCTCTTGGGAGAATATAGCCCAGCTGGGATATTGCTGGGTTGTATCCTGGGGTTTATCTCAGACCTTTGGAATCCTACAAGGAGGGAGGGAGAAGCCTTCTGGGACTGGATTCCTGAAAGGGCCTCTCCCTGCCTGCTGTGCTGACCAGCAGCAGCCTCCACCTCTGGATGCTGCCTACTTCCGGGTCGGTGAGAAACAGTATTGGCTGGCAGCTTTGGGTCTCTGCAGGAAGAAGGGCTGGCCCCTGTCATCACCATCAAGCCTCCCCAGCAGGTCTCTCTGGGGACTGGTATTAAGTAGGCCTGTTGATATTTTATATAATCGAGTTTTCTAGGACCCGGTCACAACAAGTCTCTGTGTGATAAACCACATTCCTAACTTAGAAGATGATGGTGAGACACAGCTTTCCTTTTTTGCCCCTTTTAGGCACCAGGTCAGCCCTAATCCCAGCCCTCTGCTTTCTCCCTGGGCTTTCAGAACTGGGCTTCTGTCAGGCTGCCCTGGCCCAGTCATTCCCTGAGATGCCAAGGCAAGACTCCTTTCAGTTTTTCTAGAACTTAGGGGTGTGCCAAAGCTATGTGTTCCCACCTGCTTGTTCTTCAACTCATGTGACCTCTCAAGTCTTGGGGCAGGGAGGCTGCTGGAAACTTGCTTTCTCTAAGGTCAAAGAAAACCATTCTGTCCCCTCTTAGAGAACTGAAGTTGTCTCTGAGGGCAGGATTTCCTTAGGCTAGTCCCCACACTTGATGCACTTCCTGAATCGAGGACACCACCAGTTAAGAGTTTTTCTCCAAGTTGATCCACAAGTGTATGACTTTTTCTAGCATCATCTTGCCCTTTGAGCCATAGATACTTGCCTCAGTACTGTAGCTGTTTTGCCTTTCTGTCAATGCTGAGTCTAAGATCCTGCCCTCCATCCTTTTCTGAGTGTGCTCACATTTATTGTTTGTCTGCGAAAGGTCTGAGGAGCAGGGAAAAGCTGTGATTGGGAATGCTACCACCAGCTAAGGAGCAGAGTTGGATTTCTTGACTTCGAGGCTTGCAGTCTTCAGAGACTTTGCCTACCAGAGATCAAGTCACAGCTGTGATCACTGGTCACCCAGTCCCAGATTCCAGCATAGTAGTAGGGACTGGGTATGGGAGTATTTATCCTAGAAACAGGAATGGCCACTGAAAAGCAGCTTGGCTTGTGACCAGATGGGGGAAAGGAAAGGCAAATCCTGGGAAGCCCTTGGGCTACATAGCTCCCTCTTCCTTTGCCACTTTCTGAACAGGCAATGAATCCACAGGCCCCTCTAATGGAGAAGTCTCTTTTTTTTCCGCTCAATTTTTTAGCCACATCGCATGGCATGTGGGGGAATCTTACTCCCCCACCAGGGATCAAACACGTGCCCCTTGCATTGGGAGCACAGTCTTACCCACTGGACTGCCAGGGAAGTCTCAAGAAATCTCTTAAGTGCTTCTTTGCTTTGTCTCTCCTCTCTTAGACTTTGATCAATTAATAGAAACTTATTACAGTGAGTTACTAGAAGTAGGGGTGGGGAGTAGTCATAATCCACTGAAATCACACAACAAAAGTGATGGGCAGCAAGTGAGCTGGAGACTGTGAGGTGACGCCGTGTGGCCCAGG